CCTACACGGATGAAGGCTCTCTGGTTTCAAAAGAACAAGTTTAATGCCTATTGTGTAAGTATACAATTTATGTATTGTTTCACAGTGAAAAATGCTTGGCTTTTGATACACTCAGTTGAAAATGTGCTTTAAAAAATGTTTATCTATGTTAATACTAGTTTCTTATGTTACTATGTGTTAATCTTTGACCAACTAAAGGGGGAAGTTAAAGCTGAGAGTATAGCACAATTTACAGGAAGCCCTCACTATTCATGGGTTTGGAATTCATGGTTTCAAATATTCACGAATGCTGAACACACTTCTTAAATACACTTAAAGGAGCTACTTGGGAGCTCCATGCTTGCCGCTGCCATGCTCCTGTTGCTAGAGCACCCGTGCCCCCCGCCCCCCCCGGGGGCATTGAGTTCATGAATGCAGACGGCGTTCATGAATGCAGTGCCTTACTCACGGATTTCGCCATTCGTGCGGGATATAAGAATGTATCCCCTGCAAATGGTGAGGGCTACCTGTAGTTGGGATGAGCAGTAATGGAAATCCAGTGGGGGGTTTTTAGACCTGTTAGATTTGAAGCACTGCTTGGAAAATGCCAGCTTTAATTTTCCTTAGTTTTCTGATACAAAGAACTCAGGTAGACCATAACAGATCAGAATGTTTTAACACTATGAATTCCTATTTGAAATCTCTGGGTTTACCTTGTAAATAATGTTTGCACACTTAAGAGTACTAAGTTTGTGGCACACTGGTTGAGAATCACTGTGCAAGACTGTGCATTTCCAGGTTTCCTACTATTTATAGTTTGAGTTTGATTTATTTTTTCATCCTTTTCCTTCATGACAGGGAAGTTTAAATATGTTTGTATGTCAGAATCTATTTGAATATTTCAACATTAACTAATTTTAACTATATATTACTTTGTAGATAACAACAGGAAAAGGAGATTGTAACCCCCTAAAAATTTAGGAAACCTATCCTTTTTCATTATAATAATTCTTTTGACTTTCAGTTCAGAAGGTAACTTCTCCATTGTTTGTGGCAGGACTTTGATATTTAGCTGGGAGAATGCTAATGCATTCTATGTGACTTTTCTTTGTCCTTGAAATTGGAATATGCTAACATTTAAATTTTTTTAAATGGTGGGCTCATGTTACTGCTAAAGCAGCAGCAACAGATGCCAGCACTGTTCTGGGAATGCCCGGGAGCTACTGGAGCAGATTTGGGGGTAGGGAGGGAGAGGATGGGAGAGGAAGAGCAAGAGAGAACATGAGAGAGTGTAAGAGAGCTTTCCATTCCCACCCTTCAGACCCAGCAACAGGTACTACCAGCCCATCCCTCCCCTTGAAAACAGCTTTCTTTTGTTACCAGTTAATGTTGCAAGTCCTGCAGCTCATATAGCAGAGTTCTGCATAGTTGTGCTGAACATTCAGTTTCAGACCCTTCTGGTTTGATAGGGTGAACTGCTTAAGCAAAGATATTAAAAAAAGCCACTCTTTTGTTACTAAAGATATTTATTTAAACTATCGTAAAAAAAAATGGAGGGATATTTCAAATAGGGCTATTCTTGGCCAAATGCATATTCTAATCATAACCACCCTATACTGCTATACTTCAAATTCAAATCCAGCTTGTGTCCACTACCACAGTAGGGTTTTGTAATATGCTTAGTATTATTTTCCTGTGAATGTTTTGTACTATTTCTCCCAATTATACTAAACTTGTATTTTTCCATACTAAATTTCATTATTTTTCTTTTTATATTTCTAAAATGTATATACTAACAACACATCCCCTATTACATTCTATTACATATGATCACAAACGAAGTTAAATAGAATTAATTTTTATGTAAAGTTTCACCAACTGGCTTAAGTAAGGGGCATGGTGGCAGATGAATGAAGGATCTTCCTATGGAACCAGTGGCAAGAGTTTAAGCCTCCATTCAGACTTGTGTTTAAGACTGCCACATCTTGTTGACTCATTTGTAAATGGGTACCTGGTCATTCAGGAAAGGGAGTGAAAGGTGGCTGCATATCATATTAGCCGTATCACTCCCTTGAGTACTGTTGGCTACAGAAACCAGTACATTTTAATCGTCTTTATTGCGGGATAGGAGCATGACAGTTATTCTGTGGTTTGTTATCATAGAGTAACTAACACACTGTAAGTTCACACCATTAATTTGTTCTTGTCTACCTAGTTGTACATTTTTAAAAAGATGGCCTCTCAGTTTTGGATGCAATTTGTGTCTGTTTCTGCATTCCTATATAGCTTGTAATAGCTGTAAATCAGATAGCTGGTGGTTCTGTATTTGAATTCTTGCCCATAGTTCAATTGCAAGCCCAGATTGCACCAATACAAAAGTCCTTAACCTGAGTGAAAATATAAAATCTTTTTTCTTATTCCCAAGAAGCAAGCTATTAAGTATTTTGTATTGGCTTACCGATACAATAAGGACAGCACTGTCCCTTTCTCAGAACGGGTCTTTCGCACGACACTGGTGGGCAAGATTCAGAGTAGCAGCTAATCACTCCATCCATGCAAATACAACTAGTGCAGACATTGGGTTTCCAGGATTCAGCAGTCAGGAAAATATCTCCTTCATCATTTTTGCAGTAACTAGGCATGCTCTCATTGTTTGATGAAGAAGGCTGAAGAGGTTCATCTGTAAATATGAACAGATTTATTAGCATAAGTAAAGAACAGTTACTCAACTTAACAGTTCTTTGAGATATTCTGTCCGTATGTCCTACTTAAAGAAAGACTAGAATAGTAGAAAAATGCTATCAAAACTTACAACTTATCTGGAAGCCTTTATTAAAGAGCAATTTCTTTTTGAGGGGGTGAGGGATGACTAAGTTCCATATAACTGCCATACAAATTTGGAAATAGGGACATTTTTCTAACAGATGGCCACGGTTACCTGACTTATATGATGGCGGAGTGCATCTATGCAGGGCTGACTTGTTAACATATGGTATTGTTATACAGCTACAGACTTATTGTGATCATCTCTGTCGGGATAATAGCTAACCTTAACTCCTGTCATAAAACATGAGACGATGTGTTCCTGCATGATTTTTATCTTGTTAAGGTTATGTGATAAGGCTCTCACTACTTAAGTGTACACAATTTAGCTTTTCCCAGGGCTAACTGAGGTTTGGGGAAGAAAACTGGGAGATGAATATGGGGGTCCATCAGGGACTCTAGAACAATTTTGGATGGGAACTTGAAACAAATCTGAGAATAACCCTGTCCTTATAAGGCACCATATAGGGAGGAACTGCCATGAGGAGCTGAATCTCCCTTATCTTCCCTTTTCAAGATCTAGATTTTTGTCTGTTAACTACTAGGAATCACCTGCTGTTGGAGTTCAGTGGTAGAATCCTTGTCTGCCACGTGGGAGACCAAGGTTCAGTTCCCATGCTTATAACTACAGCCATTGAAGCACTGAACGCCTGGACTCGGTCTGGCCTTCGGATTCTGTCTCAGTGGCCTAAAGGGGGGGATGGAAGGTCTGGGCAGGCTCCACTCCTCCATACTCCTGCCTAGGCATGCGTTAGAGGTCCTAGCAATCTCATGTGTACAGTATGATCCAGAAGACTCATTGATTGCCTACTACTAGGTATCTGAAGAAAAAAAAAAAAAAGAGCTAGATGTATGTATGCAGGGAAATAGGCATCTTGAGAGTTATGGTCTGTGAGCCAGTACTGAGGGCTTAATCAGCCTACAGATTAGAACTGTCAGATGCCCCCTGACATGATGAATTTAAATTCTTCTCTTTGCTTTTGTGGGATTCTTCCATAAACTTCAAATGTATTGCAGTGCAGATAGTCAAGACTTTGTTGGTAACATAAATCCCTGACTGATAGAAAAGCAGGGGTTTCTGCAGAATAGATTCAGTCTCTTAGTTTTTTTTTCTTCCTCAGTCCTTTTACTTTCTTGAATAGCTGCTACTTAAAGTGATCCTGATACCAGCTAGATTAAGTGATGTGGGAGGTTGCCATGAGACAGGCTCTAACAAAATCCCTTTTTTAATAGGCGCAGTTAGTTTACCATGCCTGGAAGGGTCTAGGAATTTGGGGGTTTCTTGTGAATTATTTCCAGTGGCATGTTGTACGTCTCAGCCATGCATTTCATCAGATTTTGGAATATGTTTAAAGTAATCTGTTGCACAAGGCACAGAAATTAACTGCTGCATTATAGGTAGAAGACTAAATTGGTGCTCTTCTCGTTCAAAAAAGGGAGAAGAGCTAGGTAGTTTGTGCTGATGGAGGGAATGAAAACAAATGCCTCCCTCAAGTGGCGGAGCTACCTTTTCTGGATTCCTGTATCCCTTGTGTGTGTGTGTAGATGAAATAGTAGCAAAAAAGCTAGTGCTGCTGATATGGTACAAGTAAGGGAACTAAAACACACAGACAGGTTATTTGGTCCCAAACAGGACATAGGCATTGGATAGGCTAGATATCAAGAAAGTCAGTACTGAATAGTCAGTTGGAGTAAAAGGGTCAGCAAAAGGTCTCAATCATATCAGTGAGAAGGGGCAGGCATTTAGCACCTCTGAAAATTTAAATCCCGTGTAGCTGCCCATGTGCAGCCTGAAAAGGTTAACTTCAAGCTGATTTATTCATATACTCATTTGACTTATTAGTTTCAATTAGCCTCTAGCTACTTGCATATACTTTTTTCTTATCACAACTTATTGATTAAAGAGATCTATGAGGTCATCCTCTGCCAAAGAACGACTGTATTCCACAGCATATTTGTGAGCACTTGGTGCTATCTGATTATAAATGACTCAAGGAATAGGGCTCCCACAAGTGACTACTCCAGCCTATTGTTATTAGGAAAAATTTCCTATCGACCTACTTTTCCTTTACTCAGTTCTATCCCATTACTCCTGGGATACTTACACATCCCTTAGATTATGATAAACATTCTCTTTCTCCTTGGCACCTAGAGACTTCCTAAACTTTTAGACAGCTACCGCAGACTCCCATAGTCGGTTTGACAAAGTTCTGTTTATTTAGCTTTTAATTCTTTCTGCATGAATCAATATCTCCAGTTCGATAATCAGTTTGTTTGTCTCTGAATTCCTTCAATTTGTTTTAATAGGGACTAAAGTTAAAATTTGTCAGTTGTATTCATCGAAATTGTTTCATCACCTGCACCCAACTTTCTTAAGACTGACCCAAGCTTAGATTTTCTTTTTCCTCCCAATCCTCTGATACTTATTCAGGACTCATCTCATATTGTAAGCATAAAAATCACTTAACTGTTGATTATGAGTTTTAACTAAAGTAGCATTCACTGTCACTTGAAACACTCATATGGAGGTCTCTCTGGAGATCTGCAAGCAGAATAAAGTAAGTGCTTTCAAGAGCACTCCTCCTTAGAGCATTTCTTTACTAATGCTTTAAGAGATATTGCTATAGCAGCTTTTGAACATCACAGTCAAGAGACTATAACAAGTGATGGTTATAGGACTGCTCTTGTGAAATCACAGGACTAGCATTTTAGTATCTTCATGACTAAATATTTTTTCTAGTATGACAGACTTTTGCAAAAGTCCCAGAGAGGTCTATGCTGATACATCTATGTTAGTAGGAAATATTTACCTGGACACTGAGGACAACAGGAGTCCTGTGTACGGGTGGGATTTTGACAAAGAAGAGGTGGGCAGACTTCAGTCTCACACAGGACACGTCCACTATGGCAAGTACATTGGGTGCAGGAATCAATATTCCATGTTTCCCCTTCCACAAAATATTCTCCTCCTGGAGCATGGCAGATGGATGGACTGGTGAGTTCTGGTTTCTGTACAATTACCTCATCTAGGAAAACAAGAATTCCAAGGCAATCAAGTGAAAATATGTTGAGGCTATAGTTGGTAAGAAATGCACACAGGCGTATTAATTTCTTATTGTTATTACTGAAAATACAAATAATAAGAACAGTAGAAACAAAGAAAAGTAGTTGAGAAAGTATTTGCATCACTCAGTGTGATTATCCATATATGATTATGGCAAAAGAGAGGAAAATGAGAAGTTAGATAAGAACAAACCTAAGAAAACCTTAAGAAGGCAAGATATATTTGAGAGGGACAAGTTCAACACAAATCTACGTAATGGAATAGCTGTAGAAAATGGAAGTCAGTAACTTATTTATAAACACTGAATATTAGTGGACATCTTTTTTACATGAGCTGGAAGGGAAACATGGAGGGAAATATGGACGAAGTAGGTTGGTGCCTGGGAGCTCATGCCTCTCTGACCCAGTTAGTTTGTAAGGGTGCCCATAGACATGTGGGGATACTTCTCCAATGCTCTGTAATTAGAGCGTGTTGGAGCAGACCCAATGAATCGAGTCTGCTAGGACATGCTAATTAGTGTGCTCCAGCCAGCCTCTGCTTTAACTGAAGTTCACTGAACGTGCTTTAGGTAAAGTGCCCCTGCCGCCATTCTGAAGCACAGGGACACTGATTAGCACACCCCAGCAGACTCAATTAATTGAGTCTGCTCCAATACGCTGCAATTACAGAGCATCAGAGAAGTGTCCCCACATGTCTACAGGCACCCTTAGAAACTAACTGGGTCAGAGAGGCATAAGCTTATAGGCAACAACCTACTTTGTTAGATGTTAAAAATAGAATCGGTTCTTAGCATCTGACAAAGTTGGTTGTACCTATGAGCTCATGCCTCTCTGAACCAATTAGTCTGTAAGGATGGCATTCCATTCTTTTCTGGATGCACAGACAACCAGATTAAGTCATCTACATAGCCATATAAGCCTCCAAAATTCCACTTACACACATACTGACACTCAATTTCTGACTGTGTATGTAGACACTGCCACATGTAGGGCTATGTGCCCAGGAATAGAATGCCAACCTGTGCATAAGTGGCAGTTTTGGGAGTTAAGTGACCATGCACACAACTAAATCTGGGTATCTATACATCTAGAGAAGAGAATGCTACCCCCTGCCCTTTTGCTTCTGCCTGACTTCAGACTACACAGTTAAGCACCTCTGTTCTCAATGGTAGTGTACATAAGATAGTATAAGCTTCTGATTTCAACAAGTTGAAGAGTTCTTAGAACAGGGGTGGGCAATTATTTCGGGCACAGGGCCGCTTACTGAGTTTTGGCAAGCCATTGAGGGTCGTACGACAGGCAGCCAGGGGTAGATAAATATTAATTTTCTAAATTTTTTAGGGGCCCCGTGGGCCAGATAAAATGGCCTGGTGGGCCTCATCCAGCCCCCAGGCCACTTTTTGCCCACTCCTGTCTTAGAAGATGGTCAGCTGGGGACAGCAGCAGCAGACAGGGGAGGAAAGAGGAAGGGAGGAAACATGTTACTGAGCATTGAGGAGAAGGAAAGATTTTTACCTGCTTGAGGGGCTTAAAAGTCTCCTGCTGCTGCTCCTATGATGCAGTCTGCCTGCACTGGTGTGTGTGAGGGAACTGGGGTGGAGTTATCCATACAGTGCAAGTCACTGCTCCCACACTCCCACTTTTATGAAATCTTGTTTACCCATGAACACACTGATAGCTTATAAATAACAGCATGCTTGCCTGTAGCTGTAAGTAAATGGTCAGTGTCCTCACAGAAACAGTATCCCATTACGTTAAGTACAGACAGGCTGTTGACAGATATAACTAAAAGGGGAGAGAGAGTTGGTGCCAGTGACCAACTCAGCTACTAAAATGGCATCAGCTACTAAAATGCAACTGTGATATCTGCAAGCTCCTGTAATGGTACAAGTGAGCTAAACAGTTTTAACTGGAACCCTGACTGACTTGGAAAATACATCTGCTAGCCAGATCCTCAACTAGCATACATTGGGATAGGTGAAAATCTAGAGAAAGGAAGGTTACCACCCTAATTTTGGAACTGGGAGACCCAGACTATTTTCTGCTCTACCACTTTCTGCATCAGCTGGGGCTAGTCACTCAGTCACCTAAATGTTTTTGATCCAATGATGGTTTTATGTAAAATGGCAGCATACATAAGTCCTAGAGGAGGAACTGAAATCCAGGTCTCTCTCCTGCCTCAAAAGAAACCAACCAGTTGGCTACAGAAGCTCCGGCTTTCTCATTTCAGCCAAATAAATGATGAATCCCTTTTTTCGCAGTGGGACAACTTCAGTATGAAAGGTGCAGAGTCCACTCCCTCCCTCACTCATATTTATCCTGGTGGTTGGGACAGTTCTAAGGGTGGTGGGTTTGAATCCCTTAGGCAGAAGGAGTAATTATACTTGTGTCCTCCACATCCAGAATAAGTAAGCCAACCATTAGGCCATTACATGAAATGGGGGCACCATCTCTTCTCTGCCTGTATTTTAAAAGATAAGTCGTGTCCTAGCTGTATTTTTGAAAGAGAGAGGGTAGGTGCCTACCTTTGGGACAGACTTCTAGGCCATGGACTTCAAGTGGAGGGTGGTGTCTCCACATGACCAAAGTCCAATAAATGGATGGAATTTAACACACCATTGTCTTCTGTGTTGTCTTGTGTGCTTGCTACAGGCAGGCTCACTACACAGACTTTATGTGGTTTCCTGCTCAGTTTACAGACTGTTTTCAATGGGCCTACCTCACCCATGCTTTGTATGTGGAATCAAGTTGCCTAACACAGGATTCTGGAATCCATTCCAGGAGCCAAGATCCAGCTCTAAATCTCTGTGAAATGGGGATGATACTCCTTTCCTGTGAGGTACCACAAGGGTGTTGGTTGTAGCTGTGTTGGTCTAAGGACATAGGCAGACAAGTTTATTTGAGTAACTGTGATATCTTTTATTAGACCAAGAAAATAGTTGGAAAAATTGTTCTTTGCAAGCTTTGGGACACAAACACCCTTCTTCAGGCATAGGGAGAGTCTGGTGGTGTTTCTGTGCTCTCCTGGGTGGAATAGAAACATAAGCCAATATGCAAAATGCAGCTCTGTGAAAATGCAAATATATGGCAGGGAAGATCAGAGGGGATCTGAGAAAACAGGTGTGAGACAGGTAAGTGTTGGGGGGGGGGAGCAGGGAATGTTGACTTGTTGATAGGATAGACTTGGGTGTTGAAAAAGGCACTCAGGATAACAACAGATGTGGCATATGAGGTGATTCTGATTGATCCCAGTCAAAACCCAGAGCACCACAGCCCTTTACACATTCAACTTGTCACTGGGATGAAAGGAAATTAACTTGAATTAGCCTTAATTGTCCTGGGCAAAAAAATGTTACCTTGGAAACTTCACAGGTACCTAAAGAGAGATAATGGGCTTGTAATTCTGTAGGATCCCAGGACAAAAAGCTGTCCTGAGAGAAATCCCATCATTTGTTTCTGCCCTCACTTTCTACAGTAGTAGGGTCTATAGAAATATAATAGATAAGACAGATGTCTATCTTTCTAGTCATACCTGGAGATGCAGAATCCCAATCATAATCACCCTTATGTCTCTTGCACATCTTCAAAGACTTAACCCTGATATTCGTTTTATGGCACATTATAACCTACTATCTGATTCCTGAATATCCCCACACACGAAAGGTGACAGTGACCCTCTCCGCTTTTGATAAGCCTTGATCTCCCAGTAATCAGCTTCTTTTCTTCTGCTAATTGTTTGTCTGCTGCACCTGGGAACTTTTCTCCCCCCTCTTCCAAGTGTTTTTTACTATGCTGTGCTGGCTTTTACTCCTAAGACCTGAAAAGTCTTGCATCCAAAAGCTTGCCTAACTCTATCCCAACTATACAGGTGGTCCAATAAAAGGTAAAAAATCTACCCTAAGTAATCCTTACCACCCTTTACTTCCTTAGCAGTGTTGTTCTTGTCTAAGGGTATGAACAAACAACTTTGTATGAACAAATAATTAAGGATATGAACAAACTATAATTTGGCCACTTTAAAGGGGAGAAGGAACTGATGAGCTGTTATGCTGTTACCATTTCATCTGCATGAACCTTCAGGGATAGAAAGTTTAAATTGCCTTAACTCTGACCCTGAATGAAGTGGGGTTAAAGTTGGAGCAGTTCTGTTACATTTGTATCGCTATACAATCATGCAATCATAGCAGTTACATAGCTTACATATCCCTTTATATTGATACAATTGTTATATCTGTCTATACCCTGAAGGATTAGTGCTTGTGTCCCTGACTATGGTTTCTCCTTATACCTTCTAATGAGGGGCATGTAGCTCAAATACCTGTTTTCACTTCTAGAGAATAGCTGTTAACTTCTAGTGAAATCAACAAAGGCATCTTTCACTACTGTTTTATCTGATTCAAAGAGCATTCATATTGCTTCTTTCCTGATGCATACAGGCATGCTGAAGAGCAGGGGCGGGCAATTATTTCTGGTGGAGGGCCGCCTACTGAGTTTTGGCAAGCCATCAAGGGACACATGACAGTCAGCCAGGGGAAGATAAATTTTAATTTTCTAAATTTTTTTAGGGGCCCCACACGCCACATAGAATGGCCTGGCAGGTCACATCTGGCCCATGGGCTGCATTTTGCCCACTGTTGCTGAAGAGCCTCCATTTCCCTCACCCTTACTATGATATTCCCATTTTCCCTATTTGTTATAGCATCTGTAGATAGTATGTACAACTTGGTAGTGTTTAACCATAGCTGAAACAATTTGGCTGCTCCACTGCCTTAACACCATCTAATTTGTATTTCAGCTGTTGTATCAAATTATTTTGAACTGATGATTTCTGCAGGTTTTGTGCATAGATAACAGAAGTCGCCACAGGCAAGCCAATGTTAATCTCTCTTAAAATTACAAATAGTCTCAGCAAACTGCCTACTTTGCATCTGGTTCTTCACAGAGCCATAAGCTGACTTATTAT